CTTACATCTATATATATTAAACATGACAATGAACTTAGCAGAGTCATCATAGTAGCTGCTGTTCTGCATGCAAAGATAGACTATCCATATGGGTGTATATTAATTAAGAACCAATATTATTGCTATTGTTACTGTTTTTAGGAACAAAATAAAATTTAAAATGGCATATCACTTCAAGAATTTTAAAATCTAATAGGAAAGACAAAATCTGACCATCCTATTTAAGCAACCTGCAAGCATCGATGAAACAGTCTCTCTTTCTTTATCCCTCATCTCCCTTGGTGAATTAAGCCAGGTTGAATTTAACCCCTCTCTACTCTGCATTGAGTATGGGTAACGGAGAACCATCAGAAAGAAACAGGTTCCTTCTACCCATAGTAACTGTGATCAAGAGTATCCTTAATGCCACTCAGCATGATCTTTGTCTATTCTTTCTCCTATTTCTTCATCAACTGTTTTATAATCAGTTAATTTCTTTCCTTGAAGAAACTAAGAAAAGATGGTAGACACCTAGAGCAGGATCTGTAGTGCATATAACCAAGAAAGGACTAGTTATCTAAACTACAGAAATGATCTTTGCAAAAATGACAACCAATAAGAAAATGGGCAGAAACACTTAAACAGGAGTGTCACAGAGGAGGAAAAACAAATTGTCACGAACATATGGGAAACTTGCCAGTCTCACTAGAAAGTTCCATTTCCTAAGGAATTATTGTTTTATAGCACATTATAAGCTCCACTGAGCTTTACATGAGTTCTGAGCCAGCGAGGGTCTTCATTTCACTGGCTAGGTGGATATTTCCTTCAAATATTCATCTACAAAAGGGCTTCCATGATACACAACAATCAATACATGTGTTCCTGACCATTTTGTAACATTGAGAGACTCCTGATTATTCTTTGACACTTGATTATTTGTTTGGCTTTCTAGATTATACAGAAGAGTAAGGATCGATAATATCGCAACATGTACAAACCTAACAGGGTCCCATTTCTAACCTAGTCCAAAGGAACACATATCATTTCATGAAAAGCAACTGGAGATAGGAAGGGAGGAGGAATATACCCAAAGAAATTAATGATGCTTCTATAAATAGGTAACACAGTCATCCATCATGAATATATTTCACTTTGTCATCTTTACATACACTTCTTTTACCCTTTTAACTTTGGGGTCGGGGGTGGTAGGTGGGCACACCAGGCCATGCTCAGGGCTTACTTCTGACTCAGCAATGAGAGATCACTCCTGGCAGGGTTCAGAGGGCCAAGTGGGGTGTGGATAATCCAACCTAGAATGACTATAAAAGTAAAGGCCCTCCCGTTGATCATCGATTTGCTCGAGCAGGCCCAGTAATGTCACCATTGGAGACTTTGTTGTTACTGTGTCTGGCATATCGAATACTCTCGGTAGCTTGCCGGGCTCTCCGAGAGGGGCGGAGGAATCGAACTCGGGTCGGCCATGTTGGCTGCGTGCAAGGCAGACGCCCTACCTGCTGTGCTATCGCTCCAGCCCAGTATATACCTTGCATATAGAATGACTATATAGTCATTCTATATGCAAGGTATATACTCTATCTAAGTTTCTAGCCCCTCACCTTTCTCATTTTAAAAATATGGGCACATTAATTTTATATCAACAAGTTTTATGGAAGAACAACAAAATCCTTAGGAATTATATCCCTAGAATTTTTTCCCAGTATAATCTTTGAGCAGTTACTGCTATTATATACAATAAAGAATAGCTCCTTTTGTTTAAAATGTTTTCTTTTTATAAAGGCAACCCTAACTCACTCTATGTCTCATCTAATTTGGAATATTCTAGTTGCTTCTTTTTTTTTTTTTTTTTTTTTTTTGCTTTTTGGGTCACACCCGGAGATGCTCAGGGCTGGCTCTGCACTCAGGAATTACCCCCTGGAAGTGCTCAGGGGACCATATGGGATGCTGGGAATCAAACTTGGGTTGGCTGCGTGCAAGGCAAATGCCCTACCCGCTGTGCTATCACTCCAGCCCCTCTAGTTGCTTCTTAAGCACAAAAACCTGTTCTCTAGGGCTTCCACACTGTAAGTTTTCTATTTCTTTCATTTTTAAAAAAATTTATTTTCTTCTTTTTTTTCATACTTTTTGTCATCTTTCCTCCACAGCTGTCTCTTTACCATGTCACACAAAATGAGTCGCCTCATACTAGCCTCCCAGGTATTCATACCCAGCTACAGAATGTAATTGAAAACCCCTTCCTCCAGATAACATTGTTTCTAGAGGCTTTTAATCAAATCCTCACATTGGAATAACAGCCAGATATTTGATTAAAATGAATTACAAAAGAAATGTGAAGTTTCATAATTATACTCTTTCCTCACCCCTTAACTGAATAGAGGATCCTCAAGCAAATGCAAAAATGAAAAGCTTTACTAAGAGACTTATTTTGAGATGAACATGGAATGTTGGCAGTTTAGAAAAAAAGGATGCTTCTGCTTAGATAGAATTTCTTTGATACCTTTTAGCATAAGTGAAATGTATATATAGATATGTACAATTTCAATTTAGTAAGCTATGCTGAGATGTAAAAAAGACACAATTTGTTGATCCAAATGTTTATAGTAAAATATTAATTTTGAAACTATTAATCTGAAGGATTTACGAAGTAACATACCTGAAGGAATTCAGATTCATCAAAACATATGTAAAAGGTTTATAGATTCTTTGGCATGAGATTATCTCAGGGAGTCTAGAAAGTAGATGGGATGTTTGGAGGGATTCAGGATGGGAGATATGTGCTGAAAGCAGATAAAGGACTGAACGTGATAGCCTCTCAGTATCTTTATTGGAAACCATAATGCCCAAAAGTAAAGAGAGAATATGGGGGAAATTGTCTGCCATAGAGGCAGGGGGAGGGTTGGGATAGGGGGGTATACTGGGGATATTGGTGGTGGAAAATGTGCACTGGTGGACGGATAGGTGTTCGATCCATTGTATGACTGAAACTCAAATATGAAAGATTTGTAACTGTATCTCACAGTGATTCAATAAAAAAAAAAAGTAGATGTGGTTGATCTCCTTATTTTACTGAAGAAGAAGCTGAGGTTAGTGAGAGAGGCATAACAGAAAGGCACCCAGCTAGCCAGAGATAAGAGGTGAGAATCAAACTTCAGTTGTCTGAATGCACTGGGTTCTTTCAGTGATCACAATACTTCATGGCAGAGCTCAGTTTTATTGCAACTGATTTGAAACTACCAGTATAAATTAGTTCTGCCACTAACACCAACCTTTCCAATTTAATTGCATTAATAAATACGTGTCTCTAAAAAACATGTTAGAGGTGTATTATGCACTATGCTGGAACCTCACGCAAGGTGTCTTGTAACAAAGTCAGGTGCATGCAAAGAAGACTGTTCTGCCGTAGGATGGAGCAAGAGGTGGGAATCTCTGCAGTTTATTTTCGCTCTACGAATCCACCATGTGGATTCTTTTGTGTCTGGAGACCAGTTATAGGGTCACTAATAGAGCTACAGCTGGTGAGTTTCCCTCACCCCGCCCCCACCCCCACCCCCTTACTGAAGTCTGGAATGGACCACCAAACCTGGAGCTAGAGGGAAGAGAGGAAAGAGATTCATGCATGCATGGGCAGTTAATGAAAGTTGTGGGGAGCAGTGTTAGCAAGAAGACAACCAGTGCTCCAATGAGAACTGCTGGAGATCCAAGGGCAGACTCCAGGGTCAGAACTGCAGAGTGGACATATTCTCTCTGCAGAATGGTAGAGATGCTGGTGCAGACACAAGCAAGCACTATCCTAAGGATTTTACCAGTCTGAGACTGTGGAGTCCCTTTCCCTTGCAGTTAGAAAGATATGCGACCTCCTAGGCACACGCTCAGTTCCATTGTAAGGAGAGAATCAGGGTAATGTCAGAGGATAGCAGCCACACAGAATTTTTGTGCAAAGAAGATGAATATAAACTAACGGGGCCATGTCACTTCTGAAATAAGATTAAAATTTTAATCACAAAAAGAATAAAAGTCCATTTTTTATCCTTAATACACCGTTAATCAAAGCTGAGAAAGTAACCAGATTAGCTCTGGTCAAAGTTAAACAAGTTAATTTTGTACATACAAATGCAGCATTCACTGAGAATTTTTTAAAAATGTCTAAGTCCTGTACCTACATTATCTCACATGATTTTCACACAAGCCCTGGTAGGGAGGAACTGATAAATATCTCTGTTTTATAGAAAAGAATAAAAAAAAAGAGGCTTAGACAAGTGAAGTAATTTGCATAGGTCACACAGATTGTGACATAGCAGGGAGAGGAAAGCTGATTACTTACTTAAAGGTTTATATTAAAAATCTGCTAAAACATATTTTAGATGAATGGAGTTTGGAAATCTGAAGACATTCAAAAGGGGAAGACTTTTGAGGAGAGCAAGCTGGCTCTATTTGTAAAGGGATATTTGTGTTCTCATTTGCATTTGAAAGTTTGGTCCTCAGGCAAGATTTTAAGAGAAGTCTGAAAGAGCCAGTCATAATTGGGCTAGAAAGATTCCTTTTGTACAAATGGAAAAAGAAGACTGTTGACCACTCCTTTCATACTCTGTCCTTCATTCTCCACTGTTTCCAAGACAAAAGTCTTCAGGTATGAGCTTGATTTAACCTTTGTTCACCCCCTAAAAAAAGTTCTGTTTGCTGTATTTACTTCGAGTTCATTTACATAAAGTTCACTTGGCAACATGTCAAACTAGGATTAAATGAGCACACCAAATTTGGAACCTGCCGCACAGTTGGTTGTCAAGACTTCCCACTTGCCTCTATCCCATTTTTTACTGAAACCGAATAGTTTCTACCTATTTTACTATACTTATCATTTAGTCAGTCATTTGAAATCCAGAATTTTGTTTTATTTTTAAATTTAGCAAGTACAAGTGGGTACTTGATTTAATGTAGGGTAACAACACGGAGAAAAATAAATAATCTAGGGTATGTTGATGAATTTAGAAAATGCATATGCTTACCAGCTCACTGAATTCATTATTGCCGAGGTCAAGTCTTTCCAACTGGGCCAGTTTGTGCATTGACCTGTAACAGATAGAATATGTTGCTTTAAAAGACTCCACCTGATTCTGTCAAATTTATCTGGTTGAATAGTCATATAGAAATGAGGATATATACTAGTGCATGCACACAGTTACCAGAAATTAAGTAACTTACCATATTCTCATGCTAGTCTATGGCTAAAGTAAGGATCAAATGAATGGCAAGAACCTGAGAGTACTTGTTAAGTTTTTATACCAGTACAGTTTATACTTCAGGTTCCATACTTTAAAGAATCATCCCAGTTAGGGAACCAATAAATGAACTAATTCTTGTCAGAGCATTCTAAAATCCCACCAGAGTCATGATTTTATCGTTAACCTTGTCATTTTTCAAAATGAACTTCTGTCTCATTGCCTCCTAAATCATATTGACTTAAAGGTGGTTATATCTTATAATAACAATAAAATTTGGGGGAAAGTCAATGCCAGAGGTTAGGGAGTACTTCATCCATCTTATACACAGTCAATGTTTCTTTATCCATTCTCAAATACAACATGCAGCTTAAGAAAATGTAGTGTTTTCCTGAGTTTTTCTTTATTTTTCTCCTAAATCTCCTCTGCAACCAACAGCTGTCCTTAAAGTCTTGACAACACAAAAATTCTGGAAACACATTTCACTTATGTCTTGAAAGTTTTATTTCTTTATCTTTAGAACGGGTATAACATTTTTTAAAATAAAACTTTTATAAGAATTAAACAAAAATACAACCCCTATTGAGACATCATCATGCACTTAAAAGTACAAAATGTATTTTTTTTCTGCAATTATTTCCTTACTAAACATTTTTTTGAAAGATAATAATATTCCAGGCAATCTTCTGTGGCCTGAGGGTGCAGTGGTAAATATGAGACAAAATCTCCTTCCCCAAAGGAGTGAAGATTCCAGTGGGTTATTGGTGGGAGGGATGGAGAATTACAGTGAATGAAACAATTCAGTAAAATAAAAGTGTATTAGAAGCATAGTTCTTCATGAGCCCTACTGATAAAGGAATTAGTAGAAGTAGATGGGAAGAATTTATATAAGGGAACTATAATTTTTAGTAGGATAATGAATAAGGGTTTATTAAAGAGACATAATCTAAGTCAAGTATTGAAGTAAAAGATTGCATAAGCAGACTAAAGTAGGTACATGTTGCTTATTTGAGGACATCTAGGAGTCCAATATGAAAGAGGCAAAGCAAATAGAGGAAAGAAGAGAAAGAAAAAGATAATAGGGGATTTAGAATCTTATAGCAGTACTGGTTTTAAATCAAAACTCTTGTTTTGATTTTTAGTAAGGTGGAGACTTACTGAAATATTTTGATCAAAAGTATGACAAAATCCATAAGTACAAAAAGGAACTCTGATTGCAGTCTTGAAAATAGATCAAGAAAAACAAAGATGGCAGTATGGGAGTCTAAATTGGTTATTGTCAGGCCGGAGAGATGGTTAGGGATTTAAGGTACTTGACTTGCATGCAGTCAACCCTGGTTAAATCCCCGGCACTGCATAGTTCCCCGAGTGCTGCTTGGAGTGAGCCCTGAGTACAGAGCCAGGGATAGACCCTGACCACCAACCTCTTCCTCCTTCTCTCAAAATGGAAAAGAAAAACAAACAAACAAACAAACAAGAAAATCCAAAAAGACTAGTATAATGAGTCAGATGAGAGGTTTGGTGGAATAAAGCTTTACAGAGACGTGGGGAAATGGCTGGATTCTGATTATAGTGAAGATTAGAGTCAAGTGTTATCACACCAGTGATACTCAGGGCTTACTCCTGGCTAGACTCAGGGTATGTGGTATCAGAGATCTAACCCAGGTTGGCCACAGGCAAGGCAAAAACTCTACCTGCTATACAAGCTCTATGGGGCCTTGGATCAAGACTTTTGTTGGTGAAACAACGAAGAGAAATAAGAAAAAGAGTTTAACATAACCAAGACAGGAAATTTAGTCTGAAGAACTGGAAAGATGAAGATGCAGTTGACTGAAGATAGGGCAGAAATTGGGGTTTGGGAAGATTAGAGGATGGGTTTTAGAAGCATGAAAATAAAAAAATTCTCTTGTGAACACAAACAGAAAGCAGGTAGTTGTATATATGATGAGCTGGAGCAATAGCACAGTGGGTAAGGCGTTTGCCTTGCACGCAGCCAACATGGCTGACCCGAGTTCGATTCCTCCGCCCGTCTCAGAGAGCCCAGCAAGCTACTGAGAGTATCTCGCCCGCATGGCAAAGCCTGGCAAGCTACCCATGACATATTCGATATGCCAAACACAGTAACAAGTGTCACAATGGAGACGTTACTGGGCCTGCTCAAGCAAATCGATGAATAACGAGAGGACAGTGACAGTGACAGTATATATGACACTGGAAGTCCAAGCAAGAAAAACTTTGAGTATTATCAGCACAAAAAATGGCATTAAGTAGGAGAATGAGATAACTATGAGAATGCTTAGATGAGAATAGGTCTAGAAGTGTTTTTGTTGAATCAACAAAGAAACTCGAGAAAAGTGAATAGGGTCAAAATTGGAAAAACTACAAGAGTATGAGGTCCAGGAAGTGAAGTGAATAAATTGTTTCAAGGTGGAGAAAATGACAAAAGAACTGACAGCTTAATTAAACAGCACAGAGATTAGCATTGACTTTGCCAAGATCAGTTTCCTAAGCTGTAATGCCTTGTTAAAGTCTCTCATTCAACATGCACATCTGACAAGGTTGTTTGTCTGATAATATAAATTTCTTATTGTCACTAAGTTGTAGGGTGATCAATAGAAAATGAACTATAAAGTAATTGAAAATAATTTACAATCTTGAAAGAAATGACTAAGACGGTAGAGTTTCTACCTGGTAGAGAAAACGTGATGAAAAGTTCAGGGTAGGAGTGATGGGGCAGATGGTAGGATTTGAGTCTTGCATACGGTTGATCTGGGTTTGTTCCTAGGTGTCCCATATGGACCCATGATCTCTGCCAGGAATAATCCCTGAGTACATAGCCAGGAGTCAGTCCTGAGCAATGGTGGGGATGGCCCCCAAATCATCAAACAAAAAAAAATAAAACTAAAAGTGTATGCGCATCTGTATGCTAAGATATATGCATGTGGGCTGTAGCGGTAGCACAGCAGACAAGGTGTTTGCCTTGCATGCGGTCGACCCAGGTTCGATTCCCAGCATCCCATATGGTCCCCTGAGCACTGCTAGGAGTAATTCCTGAGTGCATGAGCCAGGAGTAATCCCTGTGCATTGCTGGGTCTGACCCAAAAAGATAAAAAAAATAAAAAGATAAATGCATGTGCAAAAAGTATCTGTAAAAGTATATGTGCATATGGAAAAGGTATTTGTGAATATGTACATATGTACAATGCATGTGAACACGGAGGAGAGGTACTTCTTCAGCCATGGTGAATGGGAGTAAAAAATATGGATTTAATGAGGTTTCATTTTGAAAGGACTGAATCTGAAAATACCCTCTAGAAAATCAGAGAGGATGGGCATTTAAGGAGGAATTTTAAAGGGGTGCGATTGAAAGGAACTATTTAATGATAAGAATAGTAAATAAAAGTAAAGTAAAAGTAAAGGCCCTCCCGTTGATCATCGATTTGCTGGAGCGGGCCCAGTAACGTCTCCATTGGAGACTTTGTTGTTACTGTGTCTGGCATATCGAATACGTCACGGGGAGCTTGCTAGGCTCTGCCGTGCGGGCGAGATACTCTTGGTCGCTTGCCGGGCTCTCCGAGAGGGGCGGAGGAATCGAACTCGGGTTGGCCATGTTGGCTGCGTGCAAGGCAAACGCCCTACCGCTGTGCTATCGCTCCAGCCCAAGGTAGTAGGAAATAACGAGAAATAAGAAAAAAAATAAGAAGAATGCAGTCAATGGTTATTCATGTCAAGGTCATTCATGTTTGAGATTTAGCTCGTGGGAAATGGAAGCCTTTACAATTTAAACAGGAAAGCTATATCAAATTTTTGTCGTAGAAGGTGTATTTTGGAAGTTTGAAATGGAATGAGAAATGAGAAGATAGCACAGGGGCTAAGTAAGAGGCTATATTGAAATTCATTTGAGTTACAGTTGGGGCCAGAAATTAAACAATGGCATTTTGATTGACATGTGAACAATAAGCAGATTATTATTGAAGACATAATTTGGTTAAAGATGACAACTGTGGAGGTAAGAGAGAGGAAGAAGTTAAAGGCAATTTTTTGACTGAAAAGTAGCACGGAAGTATTGGAATTAAAAAACAGTAAGGAAGATATAGAATTGATATAGTGAATTTTTTTTCTTCAAATATTGCAGTGATGTTAAAGTGAATGTGTGAAGTTTAAATTAGATAAAAGTGTGTCTGACTCATGATCAGCTGAATGCTTTTGACCAGATGTAAATATTTTAGAAAGAAATAAGTGATACTTCCTAATGATTCAACATGGAAATGATGTCTCTTTTATACTCATATCATTTGCTTTTTTAAAAATGATTTTCTCAGTATTTGCCACTTACCTGACTGAATTTTTGGATTTTTTTTCCATACTGGCCTGCATCTCTTCTTTCTTTAGGTCTTAAGATATGTTTTGAGATGCCAAGATGGGTGTAGGCAATATCACCAGCAACAAAAAGACAGTTGTGAAGCCTTTGCCAGAAAAGCGAAAACATCTGCCTCACCTATCATCAAATCTAGCTAAAATAGGTGCTTCCAGAGAAAAGGGTGGTGTTAGGGCTCTACAAGGGGAGAATTCAAATTCTTTTCTGAGTCTGGGATTATTGAGAAGTTGGCAAGTTCTTTAAGATTTGTTTCCAGATCTCACGTTCATGAAGCAAGGGACCACAACCAAGGCAGCCAAAATGAAGAACCAAATGTGGTAAATGAGAAAGCGGGCTGGAGCCATAGCACAGTGGTAGGGCGTTTGCCTTGCACGCAGCAACATGGCCCACCCGAGTTCGATTCCTCCGCCCCTCTTGGAAGCCCGGCAAGCTACCGAGAGTATCTCGCCCGCATGGCAGAGCCTGGCAAGCTC